GTGACCAAACTTATATTATTTATTATTGAGGTCAACTATAGATGAAAAAAGTTCATATAAACTTATGTCCACCCTGTATATACATATATATAGATATATACTTATATATAGTGGTTGAATTGGTTCGAAAAATAACTTTTTTGAACTTTTATACATCGATTCTGACCGTAAAAGCTATGAATACTGAAATAATGTTATAACTGTTCTATCCATTAAAATTATTGGTTGGTATTTTGATGTTTCAAAATTGATGTTGTTATATCGGTGTCATATACTGGTTTTATTAATTATTATTTTGGGGTTCTTTATTGATTACCATTAGATTCAGGATATAAGGGATCTTTTTTGATATTAATAATAAAATAATAATCAAATAAATGAATAAAAAATGACGAAAATCAAACTATAATATAAACCGATACGAAATTAAAAAATAGTTATAGAACCCAATATAGAAACCATAAAATATCGATAAAATATTAAGAAATCGATATAAAAGTGAATCATTATATTTCTAGAAAAGTTATAACAATTTTTAAATGTTTCAAAATCCCGAAACTAATATTATATTATAACTTTTTTTTTACTCCTACTTATACATATATATTAATAAAAGGTACACTTAATTACTGGAAATTTTCTCTCTTAAGTAATAAATGATACTTCCCAACTTTTTATATTTTATTTTTCTCTCTCTCTCTTAAGGATCGTAATACTCTTTCATTTCTTATAAACACCTTAAGTCTTCCATAAAGTTAAGAGCATTAAATCGGATTAGTAAAAGATCAGCAGGAACGTGGACGAGTTTTGAAATTATGAACAACCGTTTGGCTTACTGTTTTCTCATTCACATAGTCTTGCAGAAATAGTTCCGAAAGAATTTCCTTTACATAATTCATTAAAATATTATTTAATATTAAGAAAGAAACTTAGTCAAGATTCGTAGAAGTACTTTTAAACGTAGCAATGTTAATTCCTCGAGTAAATATTTGGATGTTTTTGAAATAAAAAAAATACAAAACAGTTGTGTTAATTTTTTCATGGGAAAAAAGAAAAAGTATAAAAGAAAGAGAATGAGTTTATTTGCCACGACTTTATATAAACGTAGTCAAATATTTCCAAACATATTTTCAAAGGTATTAAAAGAAAATGTTGTAGTGTTAAAAAGACATCTGCAATATTTGTCGAGTGAATCAAAAGAAATTACAAATGGTGCATTGATTTTTATATAAGAAAAATATGTTTTTAAATGTTTTCTTTTTTTTGTATTTTATTTTTATTTTCACTTTTTTTTATCCCACTATATCTCTTATAAATCGTGACAAGCAATTACCCGAATAGATACACAAGTGTCGAAACAATATTTTGTTAAACTTGTAAAAATAAAAGTAAAATGATTTTTAAAATAAATAAATGAAATATCAAATAGCCAAAGCTTTTAAATGGAATCTTAGGCAAAGCCAATTTCGATCTTACTAATCGTAAAGCGTGCACTAAACCTACTGACGAAATTACATTGTAATTAGGTGGAAAACTGTATTACGCGCTTGGCTACCTAATGTACGGTTTATAACTATGTATGCATCACGCGTTATTACCTATTTGTAAGTGTGCGAGTATGGACATGCGTGCGTAATTCAAACGCATTCGTAGCATTAATATACATCTCCTATTAATAACCGCATCTATTAGCTTCGTGATAGATTAGAATATATAATAGAATGATTTTCATTAAAATGATATGATATCTGATGAATAATAAAAAACAAAAGATCAGGATAAAAATCATTAAAAACGAATTTGTTTAAACTCGTATTTTTTTTTTTTTTTTTAATATTAACAATAACGAAGCTCTTTTAAAGAACATTATTTTCTTATAACAAATCTAAATATATATATATATATATATATATTTTTTTTTTATCTTAATATTAATATAATACGTAGTCAATTTTATACTGTAATAATATTATGTTATACTGTAATTAATATAAAAAATAATAATTAATAAAAAATATTCATTTTATATTCTTTTACATTATAAAAATACAAAATAATAAATATATTTATTAGATACTATTTCAATAAAATAGATAAAAATAACTAATATGTATAAGCAGAGTCATTGTTTTTTATATTACTTTGCTATATCATTTATTCGTTTTAGATTTTAACGATAAAAAAAACACCGTTATATTCCACTTTAGAAATATTGAAATTCTCTTGATAAAACATAACGACATTAAAAGAATGATCAATCGAAATACATATCCATACATCTAATCCTTTTACACATCCATATTACGTTCTGATTTCGAATTCTGTTTTTAATTGTAAAACGCACTCGTATCAATCAACGAATAAGAGTCAAATAGTTTCTCTACTCATAAAATTTTTACGATTAAAAGCACTCGTTGGAATATTTTTTTCTTAAAGAAATAATCTAAATATATTTATATATAAATTTCTAAGTTATATAAGACTATAAAGAATTAACTTTATACATTTTTACATTTAAACGTTTACATTAAATTAAATAAAAATACAAATTGTACAAAATTATTCGTAAAATTCTAATTGCGAGAGAAAAACATTGTAATCCAATTGTGGTTAACAATCTTTTTTAACCATATTTCCATAACGGAATTATTAATGTAATTTTTTTGTTTGTTAATTTTTAATTTCACACATTCTACGTAAAAATTCAAAAATTCAAGTGTGAGATTAGGTCGGTAAAAAGAAATATCAACTTTGAAGGAACATTACACATTTCACCCTATCTTTGAAGGTTAATATTTGTCAGATAATATTCCAAAAGTTCAATCCTTTTTCTTCACTTCCAATAAATCTCTTATCTGTTTTTTTTTTCTTTTTTGGTTTCACATGGTTTCGAGATATGTGCAAGAGATAAAAAAAAAATGCTGAGAGAACTTTAGAATGTAACTTTTTCGTCTCGTGTTCAAAATGTAAGACGAAAAGAAGAAATCACTGCCAAAACTATTATTATTATTATTATTATTATTATTATTATTATTATTATTATTGTTATTACTATTATTATTATTATTATTATTATTAACGAAGAGTATCGAATACTCATTAAGCAAATGCACTTTCATCTTTTTCGATAGATGCCTTGAAAAGTTTTCTTCTCTCTCTCTCTCTCTCTCTCCCTTTCGTATTCTCTTTATTTTTCTTGACATCGTTCTTCTTCTTCTCCTTTACATCGTTCCGAGAATACATTTTTCAATCTTTTCGTGGCAACGGAATGTACTTGAGAACGTCGGGTCATCCATTGAACGTAATGTAACATGTTTCTAGTAAAACTAAAAACTAGAGAATTCTCATCTCGCGAAAAGTTTACAATTTGGTAGAATAGAACAACTACAACAACAACAAAAWATAAGCAAGCGGTTAGCGAAGGAATGAGAAGTAAAGTATGATGCATATACAGATGAATGAAAGAAAAGAAAAAATATAGAAAAAAGCATCATTCAAATTAGCGACCTAGGACAATTTTTTGATTGCTATATCTCCTCCAACGGGAAGATAGTTTCTTACTTTCTCATCGAATACTTTTGAAGAAAAGGAAGAATGAGTAAAAGGGGAAAGTGGGTAGGGGGTAGTAGAAAAGAAAAAAAAAAGAAGACAGGTTCAATGGCGGAAGGATGGAGGGGGAAGGTGGATGGTGTTGGTGGTGGTGTGAGAAATACATTTCGTTGATGACCCGGGCTATCACTCGCAATACATTTTATGTGTGTCCTCATAATGTATTCATATCGTGCTTTTTGACGTGTATTAATTACGCATGACCTAGATTGTTTATTTACTTAACCGATAATGACTAATATTACGTAATGGAACGGATGAACCTAATCGATCACGACTGGTTCTCTCTCTCTCTCTCTCTCTCTCTCTTTCTTTCTCTCTTGCTCTCTTTCTTTCTCTGTCTATCTGTCTTTCTCTCTCTCTCTCTCTCTCTGTCTCTGTTTCTCTCTGGTTCTTTCTCTTTAAATATTCTGCACATGTTTCATCCCCCAAGAGATAAACTACAGGAAAAGAGACAAAAAATTTATATCGTTCGTAGGATAAATATTTTATTTTTTGTACGATGTTTGAAGGAACTGCAGCTTTTGCAATTTTGTTTGTTTCGGAATTTTAACGAATTTGCAATCCTTCCGGGAACTTGTTGATTGTTTTCTATTTATTTCGTTCTTTTTTGTTGAGAAAATTCCGCTACGTTTCTATCTGCTATTTTTTTCTTTGTATAGCTCGCAAAATCATCGTTCGTACTCTTTATTTGTTTCCCCGTGAAAAAATAATCGTTCGTTGTTTATAGATATATTTTTTTTTCCATGTCATCAAATTTTTCAATTCGTATATATTTCTGTATCTTTTGTGTATCTTCATAATTTTGCTAATATATTTTCTGCTTTTTTATTTGTCGGAAAAATAATTAAAAGATATTATAATCGTTTAATTTTAAATTAATGTAATTTCTTTTTTTTATGAAATATTATAATTAATTTAATACCAAGTTTCTTCTTTGAAAAGTTTAATATATAAAACTAATATATGATACGAATTAATAATTGTTAAGTTTTAGAAGAGATCGTTGAACGCTTGTTACACAATATCGTATATTTAATGAAAAAAATATTTTCCGTATAAATTTTGTAATATAATTCTTAGAATATATCAAAAATCTACTTCATCGTAGGAATAATCAAAAATGTGTGTAATGTAAACTATATATTTAATAACAATGCATTTATATCTGTATTTTTATTTATTAAACGAATATTTTATCGTCATACGACACGTATATCCCTGATTTATGTTAAATTAATTCTGCAATTAACGAAATTCATTGTTATTCTTTACAGCATTTTAAGCTCATAATTTTCATTTCAACTATAATAATTGTTTATCATTATAACCATTGAACGATAAATAAATGAATAATAATTTCGAACCAACGAAACGTCCCGTTTCCGTAGATCGTAAAACCTCGAATGACAATAATCATTCGTAACGAGTGGAGCGGCTAGTCTCGAAGATGGCGAATTTATCGGGACGCCTCATAAAAAAAAAGGGAAGAAATGGAAGGAAGAAATCGTGTTTCTTGCTAATAGCGGTACCCAATCACGTGCATAGTTCTATCCAGCTCGCGAGACATTTAATCGAAAAGGTAATCGCATTCCGGGTTCCTCGTAAACGGTTATCTCGATAGCATCGAGAATAGAGGCAGATTAATTTTCTCTCTCTTTCTCTCTTTCTCTTTCCCTTTCTCTTTCTCTTTCTCTTTTTCTCTCTTTCTCTTTCTCTTTTTCTCTCCCAATTTCTCTCTCTCTCTCTCTCTTTTTCTTTATGATTTCCTCGTACTTTTCTTTTTCATTTTCTTTTTTCAAATTTGATTTTGATCTTCTTCATGCGAGCCTCGATATAATCAATACACCAGAGATAATAAAAAAAAGAATATTTTCTACGTGATTGATTTATCTTCTTTATTGTATTATAATAATTTTCAAAATTACATTCGACCTTTTCATAATACGCACGATCGATAATTTAAATGGGATTTAATAATCGTCTAGTTTAATAAATCAATAACAAATATTTGTATTTATCTTATTTTCATTGTATATTAGGATTTTTTAATATAACGAATTTTGCTAAGATAGAGTTAGATAATTGGGAAAATTCAAATTATGATTCTGATCCATTTGCTTATAGTTTTATATCATTCTTAGGATAATCTTCAATGTTCTAGTTTTTCGATTAAATTGTTTCTATATTTTACGATTACAGTACTTATTAGTAAAAAAATTTGTATAAATATAATAAATACATTTGTTGATCTGTTACGCAATATTAAATACAATTTTTATTCTGGTTAATTGCACAATCTTGTTTAAAAAAAATAAAAATGGATACTTTAAAATTATCGAATAAAGCTAAGAAAAAAAAAAGATCAATTATAAATATAGCAATTATATTATAAATATATTTGCTGTATTTTATTTGATTAGAAATATTATATTTATTTTTTATTTTATTTATGATGATTTATTCGTAGAAAAAAAAAATTCACAAAAATCACTGTAGTTAGAAAACTCTAAATTGATCTGTTTTCGAAAAAGTTAATAGCATCTTATTTTTTCATATGTCACATATTTGTAATATCGTATTCTCATATCACTCAACTTGGATCATCGAATAAAAAAGAAAATTCATAACCGGTAATATCTATTATGAAAGAACATCGCATTGTTTTAATATCCTTTTCGCGATAAGATTACTCATTAAAAAGATCGGTCGTTTGTAGTAAGGGTGATCATAAAAACAAAGGTAACCTTTCTCAAAGATAAAAATTGAGTTAAAAATCACGAAAGACTACAGGAGTGAAAACAGTTTTGAAAATAAACTGGTTCAAACTGTTATACGAACCACTACTCGTTAGTAAAATCAATTAACTCCTCTCAATAAAGAAAAAGTAAAGAGAAAACTTTATTAAGTTAAAAAAAACATTATAATATAATTTATTATTTCATTGGCAATAAACATTTTTATCATTTAATATTGTTTATAAATGTATTAAGAGTTGAGATAATTGTTTTTGTCTGTGATTATTGGCACATGCATGCATGTCGGTTCTAACTGAAATAATAAAAAATACTGAAAAAAATGTTACAAATGTTCATCATCAGTTTCGGTTTTACAACACATTTACCGATGTTGTGTAAGCTCCATATTGGGTTTTATAACTGTTTCAGTTTTGTTTGAAACGAAACAGATACAATACCGTAAAGTTACAGAACTAGTATGCCACCAATGTTCTAAAAAATTGAAACCAAACTCAATATGGGGAAAGACCATAGAGTATCTGCATCTCTCTGTTCTGTATCAAATCAAACAATAACTGTTTTGTAACAATTATTTTTCAGTTCTGTATTGAACTTAACCGCAACCGATATGACACCGAAAAAAAGAACAATAGTTATAAAATTAATATTGAACCGATGTAATATCAATTTTAAGTAATCACAATCAAAATCGATGTAGAAAAAAAACTATAATACATATAACAATTAAACTGGATAAGTGTGGGTAGTACTGCAGTTAAAAATCTACGACTGTTTTAAAAAGCATATTTTAGATAGTCAATTAAAAATTTTCAACTCTATTTTTTTAAACAATCAATGTTTAATATTATTTTAATAAAAAACAAAAGTAAGATCTTAACATTTAATAAAAGTGTATTTTAATAAAATAAAAGTCAATTAATAAAATAACACCGTATACGTTTATTAATGCGAATTTACAAATACAAATTTGGATGGAAAAATAAATATAAATATAAAAAATAAAGTAAATGAAAAGTATAAATTGATAATTATTAAAAAGTTGTTAACTAACTCAAGTATCGATTAGTTACTCAAATTTTATTCGATCAAAAAAATAATTATATTCGATGAAGGTATTCGATATTTAAATTTAAACCGCAGTAATATCAAAAAATAACACTTATTCTATATAATATTTATAACATTTTATATTTTTAAATAATAATATATCAAAAGTCGAACCCGATATCATAACTGTTTTCAACTCTTGAGAAAGAGTAATAGAAAAAGAGACATAGATTGAGAGAAAGATAGAAATAGGAAGAAAGAGAAAGAGAGAGAAATAGAAAGATAGAGAGAGAGAGAGAGGGAAAGAGATACGTGGTAAAAAAAATATAAAACCAATCGGTCCGCAGGGATGTTTGGAGAATCGTGGCTCCCCTGGGAGGGCCGGAGGAGGAGCAGGAGGAGCAGGTGGTGGCGGAGGAGGAGGAGGAGGAAGCAGCAGCAGCAGCTCACGGGGTACCGGATGTGATTCAGGAGAGTCGCAGTCGCAGCCATCGCGTGGTAGTGGTGGTGGTGGTGGTGGTGGGCGTCATGGGGGTTCAGAAGGTTCTTCCTCAAAGGACGGTGATTTACTTTCGCATGCCGCTTCTGCATTACGTAGGCTCCACTTCAAATCCGCCGGTGGAAGTCGTAGCTGTCGTACGGTACCAAAGGTTGTGGTCATGGGTTCCAGTACAGCATCTGAAACCACGATCAACACTAGTACTGATAGCGCCAACACTATGGTCACTATGGTGAGACAATGTTTCCTTTTTTTTTCTTCCAATTTTATTATTAATATTAATCATTAAGTGATGTATTAATTTAATCAGAATTAATGAATCGTTTAAAATTATATAATAAAAATAATAATTATTATTATTTATTAGAATAATTATATATCATATATATATATTTTATATTATTATTATTATTTAGTTTTTTTCATTAATTTTCTATTTAATTTATTACTTATTTTATTATTATTATTATTATTATTATTATTATTATTATTATTATTATTTTGAATAATGTTAAGATTTTATTTGAAATTAATTAGAATAAATTTATCATTGAGTTCTAAAAGAATCGCAAAAATGTCCATTAAACATAACAGGACAATAACTTTAAACGTTTTATACCCACTTTTCTGTGTTTTATTGAATTCCTTATTTCATACTTTATGAAGTCTCGTTCTGAGAGTTTAAATTAACTATAGAAAAGATTCATTTCTCAATATTGCGCGTTTATAATAATTATTAGTTATATAAAATCTATATTCATGATTATTAACTCATTGTAAATTAACAGTAATTGATATAATTGATATCGATAATAATTATTATTAATAGTAATTATTATTGCTATAAGAGAACATTTAAAAAAGATAAATTAAGATAATTATCTAGTAATGAGATTTTCCTATCTATTCTACCTATATTACATTTATATCATATGTAATTTAAATGTAGATATACCTTACACCATAACGAATGATATCACAAATTCTCAGCTATTTCAAACCTTTTAAAAGCACGTTTCCATTCTCATAGGATTGTTTTCTAATTTAGTAGAACTTGTAAAATTCGATTAAAGAGTTTCATTAGAAAATCATAAATGGTTAAATTTAGCAAAGACATAATCCCTTCGAAAGGTGCAACCGGTTAAATTACAATTGGACCAATCTAGTACTTTCCAATAATTTTACTCATTTTGAAAGTTTTCTATTCCACGAAAAGAAAATAGGAAAATCTTGATAAATCTATTTTGATTTGATCGAGAAGAATTCAATTCTTATTTTCTATTTTAAATTCTAATTCCATTCTAAATTCCCATTGGATGATTTATGTTTAAAACGAATTTTTAATTGTCGCGTCGAATTTAGTTTTTACTACTTCCACTACTTAAAGTGCTGCCGAATCTACGATTAAGTGATTGCTAGACATTAATTATACTCTATCATTGTTCACAAATTTAAAAGAATTAAAAATAATTAAAAAATTGAAATTATTATTATTATTATTCTTTTTTTCAAATACAACATCATAACAATATACATGAGATTTCGCGAATGGAAATAGGACAATAGATTACTGTTCGCACGTTGCTACTATTATATATTATTTATTACGTATTATTATAAATCATTATAAATCAAAAATGATTATATTGTTTGAAATATTGATGCATTTATATGATACAACAATATCCATTATCGATGAAAATATCGATAAAGATTAATATTCATCGATTTTTTAATTTTTTTAATTATATTCCATCAACTCAGTCTATTTAAAAGTTTGTACAGAAAATAATTAGATAAAAAAAACATTATTTATAATTTTTTATGTGTAACATGTGTACACACAAAGAATTATTTAAAAAGAAATCGTTGCGATGATTAAATTAATTTTTTATTCAATTTTTTAATACATTTCTAAAGAAGTAAATTTGAACCAGTCAAAGAGAAAGTAAAAACGTGGTAATATTCTTTTGTAAAATGATTTATTAATAGAAATATTAGTCGTTGATTTAAATATGAGAACTCAAAGATCTTATCTTCGAATTTCTAAAGGACAAATTGGAACGAAAATGTCGTAAAGGAGTTTCTACATATGTTTCAAGTAATATTCAATGTTATGTAAAACTTTATTATTATGATCGTATAACTATTCAATCGATTTCTCTAAGAAACTTATTCCAAATGGTTGAAATTAATTTCTATGTTACATAGAAAATGATTTTCTAAGTTGACTGTGTCTAACCCACTAACTTAGTTTTCGTATTTCGAAAAGGGAGAAGATGGTTGAAGAGGAGATGAACAGGAAGTGAACTAATATGATGTAGAAATGTGGTCTGCGATTAAAGGGGCAAGTCACTGTAAGGTCATCAAATATAAGCTATTTTTATTAATTATTTCCATTTCTTATTGTAACAAATCAATACATTTGTAAAAAATACATATATAGTGAGGTTTTTTCAATAAAGTAGTGAGGTTTTTTCCGATAAGTCCGTAGGGTCTCGTCCGATAAGTCCGTAGGGTCTCGTCCGATAAGTCCGTGGGGTCTTGTCCGATAAGTCTGTAGGGTGTGTTTAATTAGGCCTCGTAGAAAAGTCTCGTAAACAAGCCTCGTTAAGAAGCCTCGTAATCGAGTTTCTTGTATTTACAAACTTTTCTATTTTATTGAAAAATTAGTATAAATTTCCTAAATACGCAAACATTATAATTAAAAAACATGTCTTTGGATATTTATAAAAAAAGTATTCTACAATGTTGTCTAATTCTTTTTCTCTCATGTATCTTATAATCAATTTTTTTTTTTGTAAAATTTTGCAGACAATACAATTATTTTAATCTATATATTTCATAATCATTAATAAGAATAATATTTACGAAATAAATAATTTAATAATAATTTTTCAATAAAATAGAACATTTTTAAATAGAAAAGAAATGACACGTATGGTAAAAAAAACATACCACGCACCTTCTTTGTTTATGTCGACCGTCGGTTTGTTTGGACCTTATACTTTTGTCGCATACCTACGTGCTTATCTCTGTTTATTCTTTTAMCCTTCTATYSCTCCTACCTACAAACATTTCGAGTATCGAAAGAATATGTGTGTTTACGTTTTGTAGTATGCAGTCGCACTCAAACACACACATATACAACCAGGAGCGATAACTACGAAGCATAGCATAAAGAGGAAACCGAGAATAGGAAAAACTGTGTAGCTATATTCCGTCTCATTCCCTCGCAGTCTAAATCCTATGTTTGTCTCTTTTTTTTTCATTATTTAGTATGGCAACCGTTTCATAGCTTCGTTACATAGCTCCGTTTTCGTTTATTTACTTTTCAGATCACTCCCATTCTAAAGAAGTTTTCACTTCAAAAACTATAAAAACTCTATAAACTATTTCAAATAATATGGATGCACATGATAATTCAAAGACGTATATTCTAAATTACGAAAGAAAATGTATTTAATTTTGAAAAACTCTTAAATTACTTTCTTTCTCAGACACATTTACTTCCTTTATCTTATTTTCCCCTTCCCCTAATTTAACATCACACAATTTTTGCAAAGAAGAAGAAAAAAAAAGAAAAAACAGTTCTTCCCGAAGAGATACGAGTATTGCACGTAATTGAATTTCCTTTTTGTTTTTTTTTTCTTTTTGTTGTTTTTATTATTATTTCCCCGTACGGTTAAGCAACATTTCATTTTCGTAGGAGATGAAAGAAAGAAAAAAAAAATAGTAGGAAAGCAGTAGTATAAGAGAGTTACGATCATAATGAAAGGTGAGGTACCTACCTAGTGCGTTAGTTGAAAGTACATAAGTGACTCGAGAGAACGTTAAAAACGTAACGAAGGTGACATTCATTGTTTGCAAAATAACGACTGTTCTCGGTGCTCTTGCTAGGGCTTAAATGTAACAGCTTAAAGTAGTATGAATCAAAGCGTTGAAAGATTAAAGGGAGACTTCTATGAAATTCAGTTTAAAACGAATACCGCGCGCGAACTGTTTTAATATTCCATGGTTACATCAGAGAGCTGTGTTACGCCTGGGTTGAGAGAAGAAGAAAGAGAAAGAACGGGTAGTGGGGGGGGGGGGGTAAGGTGTACAACGAAACGGGTGGGATGAAAAGAGAGAGAGAGAGAAAGGGTAAATTTCCTCGTATTATTACTAGCAAGAAATTAATAATTTTCTGAAAGTAGCTGTTACATCTACCATCATCTCTCGTCTGTTCATTGGTACTTGCGATAGCCCACGAGCTTTGCTGACGAGAATTAAACTTTCTTCTTCATCTATACGTCGAGGAAGCACGATTAAGTCTCCTCGATTTGATTTAATTAAACTTCGGAGGTAGTAAATTTCTACGTCCTTACTCGACGAAGAACGAAGAAGAAGAACCATCGATCCTAAAGATTTCGCATGGTGGTTATATATGAGGAAATTATACGCCAGGAAGAGGAGGTACAACGATTGATTGACCATTTTGAAATATGCTATTAATAATAATCAAGGATATAAATTATTTCATGACTTTTTTTTCTTCTTCTATAAAATTTGTATCATTTCGGGTTTTAATTATTTTAACCGATTCTCGTATACTTTATTATATGAGATTGTAAAATATAGGTATAATATATAGTATATTGTAAGTAATATTAATATTTAGAAATATTATCATATGTTTTATTTATTAATTATCATATCATATGATTTTTGTTATCTTTATAATTTTATTTATATTTTTAAATAAAAAAAACAATATACTGCTTTATAAGTTCTCACAACTTTATAAGTTCGTACAAAAAATCACATATATTTGTTAATGTACTACTATCTTATTTAAATAACATAATAATAATATAAAAATAATAATAAGAAGAAATAACACAAAAAATATTGAAACAATTTAAAAAAAAAAAAATCAAGTAAAGGATTTTTTTTTTTATTTAATTTAATTTTTTTTATTTTTTTAATAAAAGTTAATTAATGATCGTTGCAGGTGACAACGACGGACGGGGAACAACCGGACGACAGTTTTGATTTGATAGACGTACCACCGGAAATGTCGCCGCCACCTGTCGCGCCAACGTCGAAGGACACGCAAAGCAATTCATCTGGCACGCAACAAATCGTTCTTCCATCGGAAAAGCTCGATTCCAATCACGTAGAACCTAATTCGAAAAGCACGGCCAACGTGCAATCCACTGCAAGCACTGCCCAACACCATGGTGGTACCATGTCGCCGATTACTGATACCGTCGACGACATGGGCGCACCCCCACCCACCCCCATGATTGGAGCTCATCAAGAGTCTAGGTTCACATTCATTAGCGGTAGAACACCACCCCTTCCTGATTTAAGGGCTGCCGAATTTTTCAGGTAATTTTTCTATTCTTCTTATTCCTTTTTTATGCGTTTCCAATTATAATATTATTATTATTATTTTGGGGGGGTTTTTCCTTTGTAAACGCACGATGCTTTAATCAAGGTGTACATCATTTTATTCGATTAATGAATAATAAATATAAAATAAAAAAAAAGAAATATTATTATATAAATACAATTTCATTCGGTTGTAGTAAAAGTAATAATATCCAATTGAATAAATATTTATTCAAATTAAATGCTTATTCGAATAAGCATTTATTTGTGTATACTATGTAATCTGTTAGATTGCACAATTTTAATAAAATAATTATATATTAAATTATATTTTTCTTTTTTCGTTTAAATGAAAATAAATCATTTCTCTCGATGAATTTATATATATATATATATATATATATATATATATATAAATCGTTATTTCCTAAAATTACTAGTTTTAGTGTATAATTAAATTCTTATAAAATGCTTTCCCCCCCCCCCAAAAAAAAATTAATTATTTCGTGTTAAACCTAGAATTTCTAAGATTTAACTGAATAGTACAATTTAACGCTGACATATTATATATTACATACATTTATTATATATGTATATATCATACATTATATTATACATTTATATAATATATTTGGTAAAAAATCTAGGCAGATAATATGTGTGCAATATATATTATATAATTTTAGCAGATATATAGATTGAGAATAAAACGGAGGTCCAATTAGTCGGATTTTCGTGGCTCGTTACGCGAGCTTGCTTCGGTAGAAATAATATCAGCAATTTAACTGCGAGAGAACTAGTTTTACTAGTATAAAATTATTCGATATAACCACGCAGACAGAACGAGATGTAGATAAAAAGAGACCAGAATAGAATGAGATTAACAAAAGGAATAAGAAAGGACATATATTTTACTTGAACTTTTGATCCCTTTTATCGGATTGTAATGGAATTTATTGGATAGGAAATTTGAGTGAGGAAACGAGAGAATACTGACGTCCAAAAAAAAAGTATTCTTACGTTATTTAATATTTTTAATAAATTGCTATTATCGGAATATAGGGTTATACATTTTTTTTTAATATATATCGAAATAATTGTATGTTATGTATGGTAAATTGGTAATTAAAATTTATATATACATGCATTATTTTACGAATAAAATATATATCAATATAATCAATGTTTTAGATAATTTAATTGAATTCATTTTTTACAAATATATGTGCATTAGGTTTCGTTTTAGAAAAATTTGTGTTTGAAAATTGTTGTTTACCTATGCTTGGTTTGACCACTCATTTATATACGATATATACAATATTCGTAAAATTTTATATACTTTGCCTATTTTTTTTATCACAATTAATAAAAAAACATAATTTGTTTTAATTATCAATACATTTAATCTAACATAAGATATACTAATTTTTTCCTATTTATTCAAAAGTATATAAAGCTTTTATATCGGATAATAAATTCATTGGATTGTAAAATAACATATAATTACTTTCATTGATTATTTCATATTATTATTATTATTATTATAATTTATTTGTAGTATAAAAAATTATTGAAATTTATTTAGTACTCCAGTTAGAGGCTCGGTGGATGCCGGACAACCTGATCCAAATCAAATAAGCTCGATGCTAGCATTGATGGCAACAAAAGACAAACAAATTGACAAAGGTGCATTGGTCAACGTTAATTCTAATCACACGTCATTGACGAAGGTAACTCAATCCTGTGAAAAAAACGGCGTCGATACGAAATACAATGCTGGACAGAAGAAACCAAATATCAATGTTACGACGAATCCATTGGATATTTCATTGGTTGGTGGTCAACCATCTTGTAACGTACAGACTCCGACCGGTACTACAAACAAAAGTCGTGGAAGGCCAACGGCAGGTAAGATTACATATTTTCTTTTTCCGTTTAAAATAATATTTATCTAGATTTCTCGGTTAATTAATTGAAAATTTGATTCCAAGTGTATTGGATTTAACGGAGATAGTGTTTTACGATAATTAATTTTAAATAATAAAAAATTTTTATATTTTTTCTTCTTTTTCTTTTTTTATTATTTTACGTAAAATCAAACATGTTATATACATTATAATATGTAGTATCGTTTACTTACATTGATATGAGTAATATATATATATATTAAAAAAAAAAAAAAACAATGTTGCAAAAGTTCAAGAATGATGAAAATTACAGAGACAATTGGAAGGATCAGAATAATGTGCTTGTCATTGTATCTACTTATTAAAATTAGATCTCGTTATTTCGTTTTTTTCTTATTCATTTATATTTTTTTTTTTTTTTTTAAATTTAATTTCAAAGGAAAATATATATAAAATATGATATATAATTCTTCAAAGTAAACATTGGTCGATCCATTAAAAATATAATTATTTTTTTAAAATTGTCAATATTTGAACAAATTTTTTCCAATAGTTATGTAACAGATATAAAAAAAAAGTATATAAATTATTTAATTTTTAATCAAGATTGAAAAATTTCTACTCACCGAAACGATCGATTTCACTTTACTACGACGTACTTACCACATATTTACAATTAATTTTAATTTTATGAAAAGTAATACGGTTAAAAGGATATGAGCGGTAATTGAATGTGCAAAGATAAAACAAACAAATTCAAATGTACGTATAGATACATTATTTAGACAAGAGAAAAAAAATAAAATCCACACGATCGAACGGTAGAAATATCGTTATCGCATTTTCGTTTTAAAGAGCTGTATTACTAAATAGAATGGGGTTATTTAAAGTTTCCTATGTTGAACTAGAAGCTCTATCGAGTTACGGGGATAACGGATAATCGACATTCCCTTCTATAAAGCAAGCGATGTCTTGTTCTCAATATAATCTGATACGGTCCATTTCGTTAGTCCAAGAGTTTATATACACTTATATACTATCTCTATATACAATATGTTGCTATATATTACAGTATAGTACAGTATTTTGCATATAATATATAGTATATAGATATATTATAATATAGTATACTATGTGTATTATATATATAATATGTTTATATACACACTATATATAGTTCGTGTGTATGCATATGTGTATATACATATATGTTTAAAGTACCTGTAAGATTTTTCAAGGCTTCTGTAATGCGATTAATTTTATCGTTTCAAATATCAGCTTTTTCTCCAAATTCTATCTTACACTTCGAAATACGAATTATCATGCGTTTCTTTTGAAAAAAAAAAAACAACAAAAATGAGAAGAATAAAAACGTTTTCGTCTTAATTGATAACGTTACAAAGTTTACTCCCTATATTTGTCTTCTTTTGAAGTAAACCAATCATTAGACTTCCTTTTTCGTGTATCATTAGTAACTTTGATGAAATAACTAACCATAAGAGAAAGTAATTATTATCACTTGTTATGGTTGTGATTTATAATATATCGTAAGATTATTTCATTAACTCAATAAATCTTAGATTTGTACCAACGAATCTTTAAAATGTCAATGACTAATTTCCAATTGAGCATATTGAAATTTTTTAATTAAAAGAATATAAATGATTTTAATTAAAATAATTGTTCTCTCATGGAGAATGAAATTCTTTTTATTAAATTATTAACTTTTCATTGTATAAGTTATTTGTAAAAAAAGTTTTAATTTTGCTCATAATTATTTTATTTTACATTATTTAATAATATTTAATAACTGTTATTATTATTATTAKTAGTATTATATATTAATTGATTATCATTTTAATTAGTTTATATCTCGGATAGTGTTCTTTTAAAGCTTTTATAGAAACAAATTGAATGCAAAGGGAAGCCTTGTGAAACAAGTAAATGGACTATGCAATGAAAATGATTCAAATGGACTATTGTTATTATAAAGTGAAAATGAGATAAATGACTAGGCTATTGTTCTGCTTATGATATAGAATTGTCTGTCTCTGGAGCTATTGATTTGAAACAAAGAACATATTATTATTATTCCTTGTCTCACAATTTAATATTAATTTCTTTTTTTTTTTTTTTACATGTAAACTAGTTTCTTCGATTTATAAGAAATATTCGTTTCATGTAGCTCTTTTTCTTACGCGAAAAAAAAACATCGTGTTCATTTCAATATTAAAAAGAAAACTTTTTAATAAAAGACCTGAGATCTAATTGTAAGTTTCGATTATATTTTATTTCTTAAATATAACTATAAAGACGAAAGAGAAAATTTTATTAATGCAAACTAATAAATGGACCGTTTATTTATCAAATTGAACTTTAAGAAAAAATAAAAAAGTAAAGAAAATTAATTTATTTATTTTATCGTATCTTTAATTATTCAACAGCCACAAAAATGTTTATTCATTTTCGTAATATTAAGCTTAATTATTAAAGTTATTAATTTCAATTAGAAAAAAAAAAATTAAACATCAATCTATTTGGTAGTAAAATAAACAAAAAATCTTCTAAAAATAGATTTAATCCATTAGACCTTAAAACGGCTCACGTAGGAGTAACTTTTAAATCAAATTTCCAAATCAGTCATTTTCATTGGTTCGATAGTTGTAATATTTAAAGAAGATCTATTAACCGATGAAACTGATAATTTGTACGTAGCTTTTTCTCGATTTGTTCATCCGATTCGTTCGCTTAATTCATCGAAAAAAAAATCGTAAATGGAATAAAAATTAAAAAAAAATAGTATTTATGAAGAAGATCTGGCTGATCAATAATTTTTGCTTTAATTATACATTTGTCGATTGAAAAAAAAAACTAAGCTCTCGTATAATGTTTATAAAACACTCGTTAACATTTATAATACAATCAAGGATATGTTTTTACTGTGTGTGCCCGTTGTTATAAGTCCCCAATTGTATTTATAAACTTGGAATATATAGGAGAATTAAATTGCAAAAAGGGGGAAAAAAGGGGGTTGGGGTCTAAGGGGTAAAAAAGGGATAAAAGGAAGAGAACCAACGCGATGAAACTTTAAATAAAGATCGATGATCAACAACCCCCTTGCGTGAAATATCGTTACGTTTCTCGAAAGAGATCTCTAAGGAAATGAATTGATGTTCTTTTCTTTCAGAGTCTCATCCCCTCGTTTCAACCATTCATTCATGGGTCAAGCTCTTTTTCCCGTTTTGCGCAATAGGTATACTAATACATGCACACATACATGTGCACACAAGCACAATAAACAGTCCACAATTTTTGGACATTCTATCTTCTATCAGTCCTTAAAAGAAAAGAGAGAGAAAGAAATATATCCGGATATATATGTGTGCTTGTGTGTATAGGGGAAAGATAAAATGGAACAAATAAAGTTGATGAATGGGAGAAAAAAAGGAAAGATATAATAGTAAATGGGGTGGTTTGACGACAACTTAGAAAAAAGAAAATAATTCTTTTTCTTAAAAATATATCAACGGAACATTCCGTTGATTTCGATGGCTTTTTTTTATCTACTTTTCCTCTCTCTCTCTCTCTCTCTCTCTCTCTTTTCTTTGATGGTAGCGTGATTTTTGACTCGCGTGTAAGTTATACTTATTGCAATTGCGCTTGGGCTTTCTTTTCTTCTCGTTTCCTATCGATTTGTCTTTTTTTTTTTTTTTATCTTTTTTTTTCCTTTTTCTTTCATCATCTCTTGTTACGTTCTTTTTTTTCTTTATTTTCCACTTCATTCAAAAAAAAAAATCGTATGTCTTTTTTTTTTTAATCGAAATATTTTCATTGATTAATAATAATTAGAAAATTTCTATGAGACAATATACCATACTTACAGATGCATACGCGTCAAATACCGTATCAAGTTTTGAACACGATCGAAGTTCCTTACTTTGTTATGCATGTACATCGACGAAGTGTGTGTAATTTATCAACTACTAAGTTCGTTGATATAAGTATCTTGTAACTTGATAATGTTTGTCAAAGTTTCAATTTGAAAGTGACACGTAACGACAATTTGATTTTTTTTTTTTGTTAATTTTAATGAAAAGTTACAGATAAAAAGATATTATTATTATTATAAACATAGAAATAATTAAAGCTTTTAAAACAAACGTTTAACACTAAAACTATCCCAAATCAATCAAAATGACTAATTTTAAAATGTTATTTTAACAAATGATTTTCTAATTGGTTACTTGACATTAGAAAAACATTTCTATTACTTTTAATGTTAACTTAACCCTTTTATTGTTAAATTACGTATATGTTACTCGTACATAAGTACTATACGAACTACAACACACACCCATCATTTTTTTCAAAATATAAATATATTTATTAATTCATTTGTGTAATACCTTATAACATTTTATTTTATCATTAGCAATCCCATGCAATTCTCTTTTTTTTTTTTTAACATTTATATGTATACAATAATATGCAAATATATGCACGTCCATAGTGAGATGAGAGCTATTAGCATAATGTGCACTGTTCGTCATTTTCACTTTTATTTATATACAGATTTTACTCGAAACAACGCAAGAATAATGGATTTTAATGTTAAATCATTTTGAATTATTGTAAATTATTATATAATTTTATGTTAACGATAACGAACAATATTTTTCCTTGTTTAATTTTGGAAAATTTGTATTACAATTTGGATATTATAAACACACGTATATTTACTGTATTTGCAGCGTGTATGTATATTTCAAAGGTTAACCACTTTCACGATTTCAAGATATGAACGGTCACTGTATAAATTATTATAAGTCATTGGGAATATTTTGCAGTCTCACACATTTACATAAACGAGCAGCAGTTTTCATTTTTCGCTAATGTTGAATGAAAAGATCCAAACTTTGAGTTGATGAGAAAAAGAGAAGTTTGTTTTATTAAACAATGCATTTATCTCTAATATAATAACATACTATCAGTATATACATTATTATTATTATATTGTACACTTAAACCTCTTCCTATGAAAACCGCAGATATATCAGATATCCCAATACTATATCGAGATATACCACAGTCAGTCATTTTGATTAATTTGGTTTCTATCAATAGGTATATGTTAATAGTATACATATAGATGGTATCATAGACATAATACCTAAATTAATTATCTTAGGTAGTTTTAGTGTTGACGTTCCTCAAAAATGCTCGAAATTAATTCAAACGTATTGTTACATTAACTTACGTTAATATATAGTATCGAAAAAGACATACGTATATAAATACTTATTTACAGACCTGTCCATTTTTTTTTTTTTAAATTGGTTATATCGCATTGCTGCAAAACAGCCAACACTTTCACGCAAATCGATCGGCAATGAATCGCAATTTTTCCCTTCACATTTTTTTCCCTTCTCTTTGTAGGAAACGTTTGTGAACGTTTTATTTTCGTCTGTCATTATTCGCATATACACGTATACATAAAAAACAGAAACACAAGTGAACTTATTGTTAAAGAATTATACGAACACTGTTCAACAAATATTCACAAATCAAGTGATCGAACCGTAAAACAATAATTTTACGATTACTATACCGATTTGTTTTAATAATCCAACACAAACATTAACTTTTTTTTTCTTAGATATATGTATATATATAGTAATTCATTTTAATATTTGAACACCATGGTTTTTTTAAATATGATTGTCCTATACATTTATTTATTGTTAAAATTATGTTAAGAAAGTCTTGTTATTTCTTTTTTATTATTAAACATAAATAATACATTTTTTGTAATTATCAGAAACATAACATTTATTTATTTTATTAACATAATTGTCTGTATAGCATAACAGAAATGAAATAACGTTTAATTTCTCTGTCGCTAAAATATTCTGACATACTTTACCTTTTGCAGCTTGTTCGTTCTATAAAAATTATAATATTTAATTTGACCGATACAAAAGTATTTTATTTGCAAACGTAACACCGTGTTTGAAAAATTCATTCAAAAATAATGTGATTCAGTTTAAATTGAAAATTTATTGGTATCGTATGTATTATTAGCCAAAATGGGACGCACCATGAAAAAATACTTCGTTCGATGTACGCCAAATCAAAGTAAGTGTACAGATAAATCATATTTCAAAATCCCATGATATCCGAATATTAAATTGAGTCACTATACATATATGTATAATATAACTTTACTTTTCTTTTCTTTTTCTCTCTCTCTCTCTCTCTCTCTCTCACTCCCTCGTATTTATTCCTCATTTCATTCTCCCTCTCTCTCTCTCTCTCTCTCTCTCTCTCTCTCTCT